TGGAAGCACCGTGCGCTGGTGACCCGCGTTTGTTGAGTACACCCTTTGCACGAAAGTTTAGTACTTCGAAGAAAAGCAAATAAACGTTAATTAAAAACCCCTCCATGAATAAATAATGTAGTGGGCTCGTCTACATCTCGCTCGCTTCAGAACAAAAAGTCTGAAGCGTCGTAACTTCAACTTTTATATAATCATCAACAGGCCCACTCTATGCCAACATGCATGTAGCTCAGCAGCTCAGCTGAAAGTGCTTCCGGTCCGGGGCCAACAGTCACTGTTAATGGCAGTGCCATAGCGTGCAAGACCACTTGATTTATTAGGATGCTTGAAGCGGCCAGCTTCCGGCTGGAAACGGCAAGTTAAACAACTCAAGACTCATGCAGAATAATCCAGTAAATAGATTTTGTCGGATTAATTGGATTTGTTCGCCTAGCACTATGCAGGCACATATATATTATGCTTGAGCCTCAAGAGTCCAGCGCACATTGCACGCAGCAAATATGGTGGTGTTCATCAAGTTCATTTTCGGATGCTGTACGTGTAAAACAACCGGTGCACGCAGATCTCAACTGTTGCAAACAGATCCCGATTAAAAAGTCAGTAACGACTCTGCTAACGACAGGTCGTCTCCACGTAAATCCATCCATACACGCATTTTTGATGTTTGAACCAGCTCGTCGAGCGACTTTACAAGTTTCGAGTTGCATTTGAGTCGGAGACTACAGCAAGGGTAAAGGATAAGTACATGTATGGAATACACAGAACTAAAAGTGCATGCATGCATACTATACACCAGAATTACACGTACAATAACCAACCATATAGCATCGTCCATGACATAGGCTAACATTAATTTTGGCTCTAGCCTGTATACGTAATGAAGTATTACGTGGTATTTACGTCAGCAAAGGTTACCGCTAGAAGAAAATAAATCAAGTAGTATAGCACGCGTCGTCCCGGCGATCTCAAATTCGGTGACAAGTTCAAGCTGTCACGCTGCAGCTTCAAGTGGCTGTGGCTAGGCAATCTGAACTTCAGACTGAAGTGGAGTCATGCTGCTTATCAGCGTGACGCCCCAGCTCAGCCGATGCTGAGACTGACCTACCGGAACTAGCCGACCACCAAGACGGTCTCCGACAGGAAGTGTCCATTCTGCAATTTACTGCTTCCTTCACAGGCACATTCGCCTGCACACGCTCGTACTGCAGCATCCTTCCATCAACTCCAGCTTCAGTTCGTCTCTATTCCAACAATGGCTGCTGGCGTCGTGGTGAACGTCCACAACAATGACGATGACGTCCCAACCGAAGGTTCGCGCACTTATGCCATCGTCGTGTGCGTCTTCGCCGCTCTGGGTGGACTCTTTTTCGGCTATGACCAGGGTGTGACCTCGGGTGTTCTCATCATGGACTCCTTCATCAACGACTACTGCGTCGGCTGGCACAACTTCACCTACGAGCAGTGCACCGCTTCCACGTCGGACCTGCCGCATGAGTGGACGGACTTCACTGTCTGGTACAACATGGCGTACAACCTGGGTTGTCTCGCTGGCGCTTTCATCGGCGGCATCGTGGCCGACAAGCTTGGTCGTCGCTGGACCATTTTCACTGCTGGTCTGCTGTTCTGCATCGGCACGTCGTGGGTTTGCTTCAACAAGGCGCAGGAACACACGCTCATGTATATCGCTCGTGTGATCCAGGGCTTCGGCGTCGGTAACTCGTCGTTCTCACTGCCTCTGTTTGGTGCCGAGATGGCCCCCAAGGAGCTTCGTGGT